GGAAAACTAAATCAGGGGGTCACGACAGGAAGAGGGATCATCATTTCAACTTAGAAACTAAAGAGATCAACTAGAAAAGATCCAACTCAATTCATAAGACATTTGTCATGTGAGAGAGGAGCTTCAGCTATGATAGTCCAAAGAGCAGTGAAAGAAGACATGAAAATGTAATCGTACGTGAATCTTGTGAAGAATTTTGTTACTCCAGAACAGAAAGTTAGAAGTTTAGAGAGGGCGAAGATCATCTTGAATAATTTGGAAAATGTTCCTGGAATAATATATCTATATATCTGAACTTTATTTCAATCCTTCGTGAGCTTATGATTCTTAACTATGATTAACTAACGATGTTTCTTTTGTTGAGCTTAGATAATAATTATAACCTCTTACGGTTCAAAGTAGATTCCAAGAATTTTGTTACTCCAGCACAGAAAGTTAGAAGTTTAGAGAGGGCGAAGATCATCTTAAATAATTTGGAAAATGATCCCGGGATAACATATCTATATATCTGAACTTTATTTCTGGAGAATTCCAGTAAGATATCTTTAATCATTTCTAAGATACAACGGTTCAGATCTTAATCTAACATTTGGACAATTTTTCTGTTACAGGATCTGGACAATTTTGCTGTTCCATCCGATATACGTCTAACAGAGGGAAATTTATAACTATGTTTTTATTCTGTATCATTGTATTGTGTTAAGGATTTATTGATACTTGTTATTTAAGTTTTTTTGCATATCTTTCCATATAACTGCATTAATATTTACCTGCATAAAACTTGTTCAAAATTTACCTGAAATATATGTGAGTGGTTGTGTGCGTATGTGTATATATCCGACATTCAGGCCTGAAATAATATTTCAAGAAGCGTCTATTTTTCATATATTTTTGTTGATACGAGAAAGAATTGGATCCAAGAACCTGACACTGGAATAGCTGGGAACCGGCGCAGATGTTTACCAATAGATTGAAAGAATTGTTTATACTTATTCGCTTGTGACCCAAACAATGGAGACAGGTCGAAAACATTGACTTGTCGGCTGAGTAAGCAGTATTGATTAATTCCAAAAATGGTCTTTTAATGGCAAAAGTGGAATGTCTGCCCCCCCCTCTTCCCGCTGCCACCGCTAATGTCGACCTCGAGCATTTGTCTGAAAAATACGGCTGTGATAAATCTCACTCCACTTTGGACGCGGTTGTTTTCATCCTCAGCTTGAGAATCCTTCAATGTCACATTTCTGCCAATCATCGGTCTTTCCCATCCCCCCCTTACCGATTGTCTGGGCTTTTCATCGGGTGGCGTCCGTGACCCTTCTATCCCACCTCAAACCCAATTTTCTGATCGTGCTTGAGTGAAAAAAGAGTTTCCGCACGGAAGACGCAAATTGGTAAGCGGCTGGTCAGAAGCGGCGATGATTGGATAACGTTTCCTTTGTTACTAGTGCCAGTGTTGTGCTTTTGACGCTGATCATAAGATGGCTCAGTGCACTTGGAGTGGCGTTTGGTCGGTTTAAAAGCTGAAGCGGTTGACATTGAAACATAATCACTTTTAACATTTGTTCGTCATCATGTTGGATATAATTAGCCAGAATATAATGGAAATTTTCTTTTATTGCTAATATAATTCTCCTTAAACCACTCAGTTGGTTTATTCCAACTATCCGATCTAAACTTTATTTAGAATTTAATTATATAACCAAAAAAAGACCCGTGAAAATTTTACGGTTTTTCTATTTGAATTTTCTGATGAATCTTGATTCTTAAGTTAATGATCGAGTAAGTTCAGGGCCAGTTCTACGACAATAAAATATCCGTGGAAATTACCCTATCGCATTGTTAAATAATTAGCCTGACAAAATATTGCTATAGTAATGATAAATATTAAGGTTGGTCGTTGTTTTAATTCGTGGTGACAAATGAAAAGATTTGAAATTGACAACTTTCCCATTTCACTGAAATAGCTGTTAAATATTTCTTTCTTTCTTTCTTTCTCTCTTTCTTTTTCTTTTTCTTTCTTTCTCTCTCTTTCGTTCTTTTTCTTTCTTTCTCTTCATCTTTCTTTCTTTCATCCTTTCTTTGTTTCTCTATTTCTTTCTTTTTTTCACTTTCTCTCTCTCTTTTTCTTTCTTTCTTTCTTTCTTTTTTTTTCTTTCTTTCTTTCATCCTTTCTTTCTTTCTTTTTTTCTCTTTCTCTTTCTCTCTTTCTTTTTCTTGTCCTTTCTTTCTTTCATCCTTTCTTTCTTTCTTTCTCTTTCTTTCTCTATTTCTTTCTTTCTTTTTTTTTTCTTTTCTTTTTTTATTTCTTTCTTTTCCTTTCTTTTTCTTTCTTTTCTTTCTTTCTTTCTTTTCTTTCTTTCTTTTCTTTCTCTTTTTTCTTTCTCTCTTTCTTTTTTTTTCTTTCTTTCTTTTTTCTTTCTTTCTTTCTTTCTTTCTATCCAACTACTCAACTTCGAACATTCCTCTTAATAATAATTTTAAAATAATTCATTTATGGTAACTGGATTTTTGGCGATTGCCTTACTTTCCATCGTTCGATAATGTGAGTCTGTAAAATACTCCTTTTTATTTTTATCCTTCAGTTCTTCGCCTAGGTAGTACCTCTCCTTCGGGTGAGGGCTGGGTTTATTGCCCGGCGCCTGAGGCGTTTCTAAAAGGGGATGTGCCGAGGAAGCATTGGAAATTTGTCCAAGGTATTGCCGTTAAACCCGCTTTATACCTCGACCTTGTGCTATATTCGTTAGGCACACTGCAAAATAAACGATTCTCAGCCTTTCGGGATCAAGGTGTAGTATCTGTTCTTATCATCTTAATCTGATTCTCTCTCTCTACTTCTATTTTTCATTTTTTTTCTTTCATTTAATTACTGAAACCTCTTTCCGCTCAAAGAAAATGGAATAGTCCATTATTTACGAGGTATTGGTAGGACATAATGGTCGTGTGGACTAACGAAGGGAGGGGCAAGTACAGTTATAATCCGAGTGTGCTCATAATTTCTAATATTTTAACACATTTACCTTATACGCCAGTTTAAACTGATGCCTTCTTTTTCATATAAATTTACATTATGATTATTAATTCTAATTTAAAAATATATTTACTTTAATTTCTTATTGTAGAAGGGAGGCACAGTGGAATAATGGATAGCGACTCGAATTAAGGAATCGTTAGAACCTAGTTCGAATTCCAGTCGAAACCATTACATTCACTTACGTGCTAATACACTTGAGAAAGGGTGTTAGCAGGTAAGTGAATGTTAAGTATGCGTTTCATTTTCGATTAAACGTTGTCGTTGCACAGATAGGTTACTGTAAGAATGTAAGGAATAAATAAATGTTAATCTGTAGCTTAAACACAGATCTTAATGTGAAATAAAATACAACTTCTGAAATATAAAACAATAATGGTTTAAAATTCGAAATGAGAGTAATTGGTCGTCATCATAAGATCTTTGACTGATTTGGATTTTGGGAATGCCGAGTTCGAATTCCAGTCGGATCCATTACATTCACTTAGGGGCTAATGTCCTTGGGAAAGGTATGAATCTTCTCCCTTCGGCTATGGCCAAATAGCAGGACAGACCGGGTTCTATAGCCTTGGATGGCAACTGGTCTACCGCAGAAAGAAATGGCAACCTACTGCAGGAACCGAGAACCGAGAGACAGACAACAGCACATATGATGTGATTATAGTGGTGAAGGATTTGTGGAAACCCAACCACACTTTTTGAAGGGCCGAATGCAGAGGCCAGCTGTATTACGTGTCACAAGGCCCCAAACGATCCTCCGCAGGTTTTGAATACAAAGTTGTTCTTTTCCTAGACCAGTTTCCTTCCAAGGCTATAGAACCCAATCTGTCCTGCTATGTAGCAATAGCTGGAAGGAGAAGAATAGGATTAATACCTTTCCCAATGATACTAGCACGTAAGTGAATATAAAAGAAAAAAACAAACAAAAAATAACTTACCAAATCTTAAAAGTCTTATCCAGATTCTATCACGAATAAAATCGACAATAATGAAAAAAGAAAATGAAGAAAGGCCTATTAAAACCTACCTACCCAGTAAAGTGTTCGAAGACCAGATTGCCTCGTCCGACCTAAAAACGCTTACCCACGTTAAATCCTATGAAAGGATGGCCCTAGTCGTAAGCCGTGTTTCACGTTCATGTGATCTTCGAACGACTTGACTAGATCATCAGTTCATACTATATATATATATATATATATATATATATATATAATTATTTATTTATTTAAAAATATGATTACAACTCGCGACATAAGAGGTCTCATGTTTCAAAACAAGAGCCGAAAACTTCAATATAATTATTAGAATTAAATTGAGTAGAAAACTTCAATATAATTATTAGAATTAATGGTGCAGTATGCAACATCCTACACTGACACTGGAAAATATATAATAATAATGTAATAGTCTGAACTTACCTATTGATTTTACCGGTTATTTTTTCTTCTAAGGCCATAATGATTTAACTGACTTAATTTCTTGTCGATCGGTCTAATCAGTGACTGCGTTTTTCCATTATGAGTTATCGATTGCTGGCTTCTGCAACCGAACACTTTGGTAGCGCTTGCTGTTCTGATCAACAGTCGCATAATATTGGATTATTTGTCGGGCCATGTCGCGCATGGGTAGGTATCCTTGCAAGTATTTCCGAAGGGCAAGCCTGAGACCACATTATGTTTTGGTCTCAGCCACGGTTTGGCTAGTCTGTATTGCCACTGAGGACAGGTAATGATAATTATGTTGACCTTTTCTTTTTCTCTTCAGTACAAATTTTCTCATGACAAAGCACAATAAGAAAATACGAGAAAAACAAGAAACAAAAAAAAAATCATCAAACCTCTCAACCTTTTTTTATCTAATGTCCGCGGTATTCGCTCTAAATTCAGGCTCATAGAAACTTTACTCATGGAACGGTCGACGAATGTCTTTGATAACAATGAATACTCTGATTTTCCCCTTTACCGAAAAGATTCACTTGAATTGCCTTAGTGGTTACATCCGGGATAATCCTCCGATGGCAAGAGATTTGTCTCACAGGTCCTCAGACAACTCTTTCTTGTGCTTTCGACTTTCATTATTACCCTATATTGGCTATCATTTTCCTTTATCGCTCCCATTCTTCCCAGGACTGCAGCATATTAGACATAGTGTCTAACAGAACACAAACGACAACTTTTCCAGATCACTTCGTACTTATGCAAGTGTCACCCACGGATCTATTATTGGTCCTACTTGGTTTTTAATTTTCTTTAAGGACCTTCCCGGTGGCATTAGCTCTCAACTTCGTATCTATGCTGATGACACAACCATTTATTCCTGTCTCGATAATAAATTATGACTTCGATAATGTCAACATAGCAGCTGATGTCCAAAACTGTTGTTAACTGGGGCAAAGTATGGCTTGTTAATTTTCACGCCTCCAAAGCTAAACGGCTCGCTATTAATCATCTGAGAGAGCTTTTTCTCTCTTCGCTCATCATGGTTGATGTTAACCTTCACGGGAGTGATTCTTTAATTCATTGTGTTGTGTAAGACAATTTTCACTCCAGAATATATCTTACATATCTATAAGTCTACCATTCATCAATGCTTAGAATATTACCGCCACATATCGTCCAGTTATCCGGCTATTTAGCTAGAGCTCCTTGATAAAATCCAAATCAGAATCAGCAGTATTATTGATCCCAATCAGGCGTCACGTCTTCAGTCATTTTCCAACCGCCGTAAAGTTATCTCCGGGTGCCTTTTCTATAAGTCCTTTCATTGTAATTGTTCGGATGAGCTCTTGGCTTTGAATTTAAAGCGCAGTACAAGATTAGCGACGCGGTCTCATCAGTTTACAGTTGAGTTATCTAGATGCAACCGTAAATTCTATGCCAACAGTTTATTTTCTCGAATTTCTCGATTGAGAAACTCACTTCCAACTCCATGCTTTCCAACCAACTTTAATCTTTCAAAATTTAAATTCGATGTCAATCGCTATCTGTTGTCTCCCTGATAATTCTTCTCCTTTTCCCGCTCCTTAGTTATGTTTCTAATTCTTCTACATACAGTAACACCTCGTCTTAGTGTCTTTACTGCCTTCCTTTTATTTGTATTTGCGATAGAAATAATCTGTAAATATGTTATAAAGATTAATGTACCTGGTTTTAAGTGTAGCTAAAAAAAACTAATGCGATATCAGAAATTACTGTAAATCAGTTGACAAATGTTTTCCGTGAGCTGCAAAATCGTATTACCCTTTGCATTGCTAATGATGGAGGACATGTGGAAACTTAAATAAAATTTCAATAAAACCTTAAAATATATAGATTTACTTCTTTCTAATCACTTTTACAAATTATTTCTATCGCAAATACAAATAAAGTTATAATTTTTTTAAAGTGCACAAGAACTTTATGGACACCGTGTATATATATTGTAAATTTGGTCTGAAGAGATGGACATCTGAGTTCACGAAATAAATTATCATCTGACCGAATGGATTTTTAAGAAGTCTGTATTCATTATTATATTGCTCTGTTCTTACATTGAACCCTCTTTGGATTTAGATCCTCTTTGGAATTATTTCTACTAAGCATCAAGTGATATTCTGTAGAACTTTAACAACGTAAATGTGGAGATTTTATTTCGTATTTATATACAGAAAGAAAGTGAAGGAATATTGTCCTTAAGTTTCAGATTTTAAATTTGGGAACACCCTATAATATTTTAAAAGCTATTTCTGTAAAGGAAGGTTAACTATAAAGGACGCCAAGTTACATAATATACTGTCTCTAAACGAATCTGAATAGATATTCATGAACCATTATTTATTTAATGTAAATATTTTTATTAACTTATTTTACGTTATTTTACTTAAAAACGTTAGAATAAAACGGTTAACCAAAGACATTTAAATATTAAAAGTAATTATGTTAATATATAATAATTAAACAAAATAAATAAAAGTAATAATAATATTAAACAAATAAATATTTAATAACAAAACAACATTTATTAAATTTAATTCATTGCAACTTAAGAATTATATATTAGATGATTATCACGGACATAAAACTTTGAGTAGCAGCGTGTAGAAAGAAATAGATATGTCTTTATAATATCTATCTCCCTTTCTCTCTCTCTCTGTCTCTTTCTCTCTCTTCTTATATATATATATATATATATATATATATATATATATATTGTTTGTATTTAAGCAGCATTTTTTCATTCATATATGTTTCATTTAATAATACAGACAAGTGTTGTCTATTTTATGTAAATTCTTTTTCATAACGTCTGATAAGCTTAATAACATTATCATTAAACGAAGAAAGAAAATCCCAATATTGATACATATTTATCAGACGTTATGAAAAGAATTTACATAAAATAAATAGACAATACTTGTCTATATTATTTAATGAAACATGTATGATATATACATACATACATACATATATATATATATATATATATATATATAT